TCCTTCCTTCCTTCCTTCCTTCCTTCCTTCCTTTCTCTTCCTCTCTCCCTCCTTACCTCCCTCCTCCTTCTTCTTTGGCTAGTCCTAGGGCTTGATCTCAGGCCCTAGGCACTGTCCCTGAGCTTTTTTTGCTCAAGGCTCTACCACCTGCTCCACTTCTGGCTTTTTCCAAGAGGTTTATTGGAGATAAGTGTCTCACAGATTTTCTTGCCTGGCTGGCTTTAAATGGTGATCCTCAGATCTCAGCCTTCTGAGTAGTTAAGATTACAGGTGTCAGCCAGCAACACTCAGCTTTTCCCCTTCTTTCTTTCCCTCCAGTTAGTGGGAAGTTCCCAATCCATCTGGACAAACTCCCCCTTAGGATGCATTCCTGGTCACTGGAAGCAACTATCTACAAACCCCTTTAAAAGGAAGGCCAAATTCATTTCTGTAACGCAGCCTAGCCTCATAAACTGGTAGACAGGGGGAAATTGGCACAAGAGTGTATACTCTCCTCCAACTTGATTGTTCTGTAGAAGGCAAGGGAAATAGTCCAAGACTCTGTATGTTCAGATTGTTTCAGGAATTGAGATAAACCAGATGTTTATGAGGCTTGTATAATAGGAAAGAATTTAGCTTTGTCAAGAAAGCCTCAACAAACATTGCTTTTTTTTTTTTTTTTGCCAGTCCTGGCATTTGAACTCAGGGCCTAGGCACGGTTCCTGAGCTTCTTTTTTGCTCAAGGCTAGCACTCTACCACATCGAACCACAGTGCCACTTCTGGCTTTTTCTATTTATATGATACTAAGGAATTGAAGCCAGAATTCCCCTCAGCCACATTTACAGCTCTCAACATTGCTTTTTTAGATTCCCCTTTGAGCCCAGGAGTGAAAACTATCACTTTTACTGAGTCCACAGGGTATCACACATCTTCTCAAAGGCTAGGAGCATGTGATGGGGGGCTGGGAAGATGTGCAATCTTGCTCTGGCAAGGAAATGGGTAAGCCAGCAAAGCTCCACTGATGGAGCCAGCCTCTGTGTATAACAACAGCAATCAGGTGAAAGAGGGATTGTTGAATACATGAATAAACACTCCTACCTCCAATCCACTCTGACTACGATGTCCAAAACAGATACTCAGAATGGAGTACCTTATATTGTAGTACTTCTACAACAGAAAGTCAATCTTGTTATGTGGCAGAAGAAGCTAAAAACTTCATTCCAAGTGTGGGGTTATAGACAACCTTTCAGAGAGTGACAGGAAAAGAGAAATTCATATTCACCGATCCCTTTGTGAGGATCAGGGGGACAGGACACAAACTTCAGCACTTCTGCTCGCTTCTCTCTCAGACCCCAACGATAGAGGATTTCTCCATAGCATTTCTTAAAGTCATCAAACTGCTGGGTATTGGCGGGATCCAGAAGCCTGTAAAAGCCCAAAGATTTCCTGTTATTTCCTTTAAAACAAAACAAGCTTGGTAGCCAATGAAACCTATTGTATCTTTCTCAAAACAAGAGTCCTGATTTTGGAGACTCAAGTTCTGGAATTATACCTCTCTTGCCTAGGAAAGTTTTTACCTTTTATTTTTATCATGCTGGTCACGTTCCCGCTCACGAGGATCACTGTAGGTGAGACTCCCAAAGCGGAGTTCTTCTGGGGAGGACTCTCCCCAAGGTGAAGATACATGATCTGTCTCTCTCCCCGCTGAAGAAAAGCAAATGAGGAGAGAAGATAGCCATCAAAAAGGTGTGGAAAGTTACCTGAAACCTCTCTTACACCTCTTACTACAGTATGGGTCCAATTGAGTCCCTAAAGAAAAACAAATTAGCTGAAGATGCTGAGAAATGGAACTAACGAAGAACTCTTTCCTAGCCTTACTTCTTTGGATGGGTATTAATAATTAGGAGTACCTGGAAACTAAGTACACAAAGTAATGAATCAAATTATGGTATCATGGTATAGTAGAATGTTGTGCAGTGATTATGTAAAGGCTTGTTAAATATCGTGAGAAAATCCTCATGATAAAATTAAAGCAGAACATAAAACAGCATACATAGCATAACCACTATACAGCTTGGACAATATACTGAGACTCTACCTATTTGAAAAAAAAAAAGAGAAATTAAGTTCATTTTTTGAAAGACAAATTTAAACCCAGGAAACAAAGATAACTACTCATAAAACAGATCTTTAGAGCCCCCTGGAGTCAGGCCCAGCTTCATTTCTCTATACTAAAAATAATATTGGGAAGAAGTAGATGATAATAAGTAGAAGATGATAACAGAAAGAGGCATGTACAGGAATAAAGATAGAGGTGTGCAGATAGCTCAATGATACAATGCTTGCCTAGCATGCGCAAGGCCCTGAGTTCTATACCCAGCACAAGAGAGAGACCCACACACAGAGTCAGAGACAGACAAAGAGACAGACCGTCAGATAGACAGAGAGAATTTAAGGATAAACCCAACAAGGCATAAAGACCTTCTACAAAGCGGCCCTTTCAACATGTAAAGCCAGACCTTGCTGATAGTTGTATCTCTATCACACTAAACGGAGAGAAAAATGAGAAACAACGATAGCCATGGAGAGTCAGGACCAAGTGAAGGTTAATACGAGCAGTGTGTGCACACCAGCGTTTCCACACCCACCTATGTTCCAGCCACCGGTGCTGAGCCCTGGGTCTGACATACTGGAGCAGGACCCCGAGGAGGTAAAGCTGGGCTACATGGAAGGAGGAGCACATTGGTATCAGAATCTCATTCCACATGTAAGCTTACACTAAGGAAAAATCAGATGCAAACCAGAAAGCTTACAAACTTACATATCGACTGTGGGAGACCACAAGATTAGAAGAACGGTTAGGAAAAGGCCCAAAGGGGTTTGGTATCCCCTGAGGCCGAGACTGGGCTTCAAACACACTGCAGAGCATAGCCAAGGTCTGAACATCCCGGAGTTGGCAATAATGAGCCAACCTGAAAATACAGATGAGAGGAAACAGGTCAAGAGGAAGGCTGGAAGAAGGACAAGTACCATGTTATGGCGGAGGATTCTGCATCCTATCTCAAACTCCTCAGGAACTGGACTTTCTGTAACTCAGGCTCTGATCTATGCTAACTAAGTGTACTAACATTTGTTTTGGAATAAAAAGGTATCAGAGTATTACAAATCACCTAGACATCAACTAGAAAGCTTCTGGTTGGTATCCATGCTGGGGCTGGCATGTGAATGTAGCTTCTCCAGGAACCAGGCAGACCAACCCATCATCTGGGAGAAGCAGTCCATGATCTCAGTCTCCCAGCTCCCAGTGCAGTTCCCACATATGTCTCTCATTTAATCTAAAGCTACAGGAGGTGCTCAGAGAACACGTGGACAAGCCACTGCCTGCAGAATTACTAGTGTGAGCTATTTACATAAGAAGGACAAAGAATAGGTTTACCTTTAGTCTTTCAAGAACACTATGCTAGAATGTGAGTTAGGGATTGGTGTTATTCCTTGGAGATGGAATAATTCAATTTTCCTACACTCAATGTCTAAGATTCTGTACCTGTTTTATGCTGACTGTGCTATCAAGGCCCTATATGAAGTAGGCAAAACAAGCACTGTAAGCCCCTGTGTTAAGGGTAAGGTAACAGGAGGACAAACAGGTTTTCCAGGTCTGGAAAGTTAAGGAAAGCAAACACTTCATCCTGAATGAAATGGAGTTTCCTGACACTCAAGTGTGATGGAGATTCAAGTGGTCTTACTTGGTGGTAAATCATTTTGCATAATTTCACTTGCCAAATTTCAGTGCAGCAAATGAAATACAACTACAATTATCTTCATGAGTTGCCTAATAGTGAAATCATCCTGGTATTGAGAGAAAGAATGTGAACAACACACAATTCTCTGTCTGTTCCCAGAGACCAATCCCAGAGCATCAGGTAGAAACTTACCATTCCAGAGCTCAAAGGCACATATATAAACTGGTGTGACTTAACAGACAAAAGCATGACTCTCACGTAAGGGTCTCAAACTCTTCTTATACATGACAGATAAAGGCCTTGAGCTATAAAAAATGTATCCTGCACAAGAGTTATGCCAGCGCTAAAAGGAAATGGCACACTCCTTCCCTTCATCCCTCTGGCTTTTGCACCTTGCTCTAAGGCAGTAACATTTAAAGTGTTTCCAGGCCTAAAATTGACATCAGTCATTTTTCTCACTTTTAGCTCCCAAAACCTACAGGGATTCCAGCAGCTGTCGTCCAAATGGATGGCGAGCCCAGGGTGTTTCCAAATCTGGGTCAGACTTCGGACCAAGGCAAAGATCTGTAGCTACTGTAGCCAGTGACCAAACCTGGACAGATCAAAAAGAGAGAGTCAAACTCAAACTAGGGAGGATCACAGAGAAATCCCCACTTTCCTCTATCTACAGCCTAAAGCCTTGCCCACTCTAGGGCAGTAACAGCCAGGTCCCTATCCAAGTGCAAAACTTTAGATCCATTCAGCCCTACTGAATCAGAATTCACATTTTAACAAAATCTTAAGCGACTCTGTGTACACTATATTGCTTGGGAAACACTAGCTTTACTAATAAGGCAATGGCCTGGGGACAGGCTTAAATGGTAGAGTACCTGCTTAGCAAATGCAAGGCCATGAATTCTAACCCCAATACCACTAGTAATACTGACAATGATAACAATAATAACAAAGCCAGGAATGGTGGCAAAGGCCTGTAAATAATCCCAGCAGTACTTGAGGTGAAGCAGGGGATTATGAGTTCAAGGCCAGCCCATCAAGAATCTGTCTCAAAAAAAAGATGAGAGGCCGGGCACCCGTGGCTCATGCCTGTAAACCTAGCTACTCAGGAGGCTGAGATCTGAGGATTGCAGTTCAAAGCCGGCCCAGGCAGCAAAGTCTGTGAGACTCATATCTCCAATTAAGCACCAGAAAACCAGTAGTGGCACTGTGGCTCAAGTGGTAGAACACTAGCCTTAAGCTGAAGAGCTGAGGGATAGCACCCAGGCCCAGAGTTCAAGCCCTATGACTGACCAAAACAAAGAGGGGGGGGAGGGGAAAGAAAGAGAGGAAGGGGAAAGGGAGAGACAGACAGAAACAGAGAGAGACAGAAAGATACACACACACTCAGAGAAAAGGGTCAACTATTTAAACACTAATATGTGACTTTCTCTGATCCTTCATTAGTGAATTGGCAGGGAGCAAAAAAGCACATCCTGTATCCCATTTAAGATTTGTTTTCCTGGGCTGGGAATGTGGCTTAGTGGTAGAGTGCTTGCCTAGCATGCATTAAGCCCTGGGTTCAATTCCTCAGCACCATATACACAGAAAAAGCCAGAAGTGGTGCTGTGGCTCAAGCAGTAGAGCGTTACCCTTGAGCAAAAGAAGCTCAGGGACAGTGCCCATGCTCTGAGTTTAAGCCCCAGGTCTGGCCAAAAAAAAAAGATGTTCTCCTTTATCCAAATAATGAGTCTTTGTTGCCCTCATTATGGACCCTTTAGTATAATCTCTGAAGCTGTAGCAGAATAGGCCAAGACTAGACAGACTTGGCTTTGTTTTTGTTCAGAGTAAACCTGAGAAACACCTCTAAACTTGAATCTGGGACTTGGAATCACCAGCCAAAGTCAATGTCCCTTAAGCATCTAATAAATCCAAGCCATAAGTTATATACACATTGTCATAACAAAGTCCCCATTCCCTTAATGCTTCTAAAAACTAAATAGTACTTTTGGGGGAAAAAATCTTTCACTTGTAGCAACACATCATTGTCTACCCATCAACTAGTAAAGACTACTCTAGACTATGAGAAGTACAAAAGGACAAAGGCATAAACTTTGACTAAGAAAGTTTATAATTCAATCAGGCATTGGTGGTTCATACCAGCAATCCTAGTTATTCAAGAGGCTGAGATCTAAGGATTGTGGTTCAGGGCCAGCCCAGGCAGGAAAGTCCATGAGACTCTTATCTCCAATTAACCACCAGAAAATTGGAAGTAGAGCAGTGGTTCAAAAAAGAGCTCAAGGACAGAGCCTGGGCCCTGCATTCAAGCCCCAGGAACAACAACAACAAAAAAGTTTATAATTTAAGTGGCACTGCAGCTCAAGTGGTAAAGCACTAGCCTTGAGCTGAAGAGCTGAGGGACAGTGCTCAGGCCCAGAGTTCAAGCCCCACACTGATAAAAAAAAAAAAGTTTATAATTTAAAAGGAAGGAATAAACAAAAATGCTGACAAAAAGAAAAACATGAGACATGCAGTCAGTCCGGGCACCAATATTACACACAAGGACCACCTGACTAGTTGCTAAAAGACATCAGTGACTTCCTAGGAAAAAACAGATTTTCTACCCTGGCTAACAACATGGCTTTGCTATTTCAAAATACAGATTTCCTAAATGCCTTCAGCAGAATGACACTTTACATTTATTCCTTCAGCTATTACAAAGTAGTAAACACAGCATCTTCAACAGGGACATAAAAAAATATTAAAGCTTTGTTACTGATTTAACTGTCCTTTTTGTTGTTGTTGTTGTTGGTCATGGGACTTGAACTCTGGGCCTGGGCGCTGTCCCTCAGCTCTTCAGCTCAAGGCAAGTGTTTTACCACTTGAGTCACAGCACCAGAAAAATACTGAAGAAAAATTAAGAATCAGAAGGGCACTGAAGGCTTACAATCTTAACTACTCAGGAGGCTGAGATCTGAAGATTGGGATTCAAAAAACTTTCCTGCTTGGGCAGGAAAGTCTGTGAGACTCTTTTATCTCCACTAAACTACCAAAACAGCTGGAAATAGAGCTGTGGCTCAAGTAATAAAGCACTAGTTTGAACAAAAAAGGGACAGTGACTAGGCTCTGAGTTCAGCATAAAAATGAATGAATTGAGAAATACTTTTTGCTGCATGTTTTTTCAGAACATGAAAATCATGGCCTCAGTATACAGCACTCACTAATCTTCTCACCAACTCTGTGAGGAAATTATTCTTCAAGTTCTCACTTTACAAACACACTCAAAGGCTAAGAATCAGGGATAACCTGCCTGAGTTTACTCTGGTACAAAGCCAAGCTAGACCCAAGCCTCCTGTTATAAATCCTATGATTTCAACTATACCATGTTGACTTCTTATTGTTCATAAAATCAAGGCAGCTGTTGCTTTACAGAAGTAGATTAAACCCATAACTAAATTTCTCTTAAAAGGCTTTCAAGCTGAGACTTGATGGTATTTATTAGAATATAAATGGAAACCCAGGGACTTTTTTTTTTGGGGGGGGGGTCCAGTTGTGGGGCCTGAACTCTGGGCCTGGGCACTGTCCCTCAGCTCTTCAGCTCAAGGCTAGTGCTCTACCACTTGAGCCATAGCGCCACTTCCAGCTTTTTTCTTTTTGCTTATGTGGTGCTGAGGAGTCGAACCCAGGGCCTCAGGCATGCAAGGCAAGCGCTCTACCACTGAGCCACCTTCCCAGCCCCCAGGGACTTTTTAAATCAATAAAAATCAAGAAAAGGGCTTAGAATTGACTCATTTGGAGAGTGATAAGGAAGAATATTGAGCTGATAGGACAAGCACTAGTAATTTGCATTTCTCATCCTAATTTTCACAATAAAGAATCAGGGTACAATTGAGACAGAAAGTAAATTAATGGGTACATGTAGCTGAGAAGGATAGGAAGGCAGACAAGCCCTGAGTTCCAGTCCCACAACAACAAAAACAAACAAGCCGGGACCAGGTGGCTTATGCCTGTAATCCTAGCTACTCAGGAAGGAGATCTGAGGCTCCTGGTTCAAAGCCAGCCCAGCCATGAGACTCTTATTTCCAATAAACCACTCAGAAAACCAGAGTGGCACTACGGCTCAAATGCTAGAACTGTGGCTCAATGGTAGAGCACTAGCCTTGAGCTGAAGAGCTGAGGACAGCACCAAGGCCCAGAGTTTAAGTCCCATGACCGACAAAACAAACAAACAACAACAACAATAAAGTTATTTTAAAGAAAAAGAAAAAAGGATTTGAGGGCAAAAATGGTAAAGACATAGATGCCCAAATTTAGGTATGCAATACTCAGTATAGTATTGGAAAAGAAAAGAGATGAAGTTAAAATATTCAGTAAATTCTTTAGGGTCTCCCCAACTGAGCACTAGTAAGAAAAACATCTAGGGGATTTAAGAAGCTGCTATAGCCCTAAAAAAATTGATTCAAAAAAAAAAAAAAAGGAAAAGAACTGGAAAATAGGAGCCACTAACCTACAACTATCAAATGAAAATCTGCTGCCAAAAATTTCAAGTTTAGGGGCTGGGAAGGTGCTCAGTGCTAGAGTGCTTGCCTTGTATGCATGAGGCCCTGGGTTTGATTTCTTAGCACTACATAAGCAGAAAAAGCTGGAAGTGGTACTGTGGCTCAAGTGGTAGAGCGCCCAGACCCAAAGTTCAGGCTCCACAACTGACCAAAAAAAAAAAAATCCAAGTTCAGGATGACCCACTGCAACAATGAGACTCACAAGACCCTATGTTGGAAATGAATTTTAAAACTTCAGGGTGGGGGGAAGAGAGAGAGGAAGGTGAGGGAGGGAAGGGATAGTAGGAGAAAAACAAAGAAGGGGGTGACAATGCTCGATAAGAAATGTACTCATTACCTTACTCATGTAACTGTAACCCCTCTGTATAGCATCTTTACAATAAAAAAAAAATTTAAGTTCAGCCAGGCACAGGTGGCTTATGTCTGCATTCCTAGCTACTCAGGAGTCTGAGATTTGAATATCCCTGTTCACTTGGACAGCCTTAAGACTCTTATCTCCAATAAGCTACTCAGAAAACTGGAAGTGGCACTGTGGCTCAAATGGTATAGCACTAGAGTTAAAGAGCCGAGGGACAGCGCCCGGAGTTCAAGCCCCACAACTGACCAAAAAACAAAAACAAAACAAGTTCCACCAATAAGGATTTTTAATACCTGGACAAGATCCTTCCTTCCAACAAGCATGGCTGAAGTGGCATTCTTCTGGCATGTTTCCTGAATATCATTCACATTCAATCTGGAAAAAAAAAATTTAAGAATAAAAAAGTTACTTTCTAGTCTAACTTCCTAGATTTAATAGACTATGTCTCCTGGCTTAACAGAGTAGGAACTTTCCCTTGGGTGTCACTCAAGATGTTTAACTTTATGTTGGCGTGAAGCTCCCTTCTATCTGATGGGGTAGGGAAGAAGTAAACTGGAGCTGATGTTCATTGAGCTGTGAGTTCTTGTTAGGGGAAGGTAAAATTGTTAACAGCTTTGAAGTGATGAAAAGAAGCTGTCCTCAAACACTAATTCACCAACTAGCTTTTCTGTGGAGTTCCCAAGGCTTATGGGATTTAAATAGGTACAACACTGTAATTTGTACATTGGATATTATGCTGTATGTGTGCTACAGAAAAGACATTTGTTAAGTGTTGAAGCTCAAGAAGGAACCACAGGTTGGCCTCTGCAGACTGATCACTCACCTCCCACTTCCCTTCAGTCAAAGTAGCTCTGCTTTTATCTGCTTTCTATATTGAGTGCAGGAGCAGAATGCTAGGGAAGTCCCCAAAGACTCCTGCCCCCTGCTGTACACACATAGAATAATCTCTTCCTTTTGAATATGGGCAGCACTAATGGAATATCACCACTGGATTATGTTACTAAGTCCTAGACTCTGTCAAGAGTCAGATTACCATGAGTGGGCCTGATCTAATTAGGTAGGGCCTTAAAAGAGGTAATGGGGGCAGGGGGAGGGCGCTGGGAATGTGGCTTAGTGGTAGAGTGCTTGCCTAGCATGCACAAAGCCCTAGGTTCAATTCCTCTGTACCACATAAACAGAAAAAGCCAGTAATGGTACTCAAGTGGTAGAGCACTAGACTTGAACAAAAGCAGCTTAGGGACAGTGCCCAGGCCCTAAGTGCAAGCCCCAGGACTGACAAAAAAAAAAAGCTAACGGCTAAGTGAGCCACTATACTAGTGTTAAAGAAGATAAAATTCACTTAAGTGTTCTTTAGTCCAGAAGGATTTGAATTCTGTTAATAACTGAATGAACCTGCACAAAGACCTTGAACATCAGAGTAGATCATTATGGGGCCTACAGGATTTTAGCTGGGCGAGACTCTGAGCAACAGCCCAGCAAAGCCAGGCCCAGACTCCTGACCTATGACAACTGCAAGGCAATACATGTATACTACCTGAAGCTGCTGAGTTTGTGGTAATATGCTATACAACAGAAGGCTAATATACTGAGCTTCTCCTAAAATTGCTTTTGAAGACAACTTCCAAAGCTTTTAAATACACACACACACACACACACACACACGATTTGTCAAAGTGATAAGCACAGCATACCTGAAATCTTGAACTTACATGTACAATTCTCCCAGTGATTTGTGAACAGGAAGAAGGCAAGAAACATCCTGGATGATGACCTTCCCGGCAGCTTTGATGGGCCGATTGCCGGAGTCTGAGCCCTCACGCTTACTCTTCCACCTCCTTGATTTCTAGGGAGAAGATGGCAAGATATAACCAATAGGACTTGGAAAAGCAGAAACATACAGTTGCAGAGCACAACAGCATATTTGGGTCATTGGTCATTTGCAGAAACTGTAAATTACATCATGCCCACAATTACATGAATCAGCATCAATAGGAAATAAAAGGATGACAAAGGACACTGAGCTCTTGATCCAAAATCCTAACAGAAAGACAGGCACCCGTGGCAGGGCTACATACATTCTGCAGGTGTTCAAAAATGGAAACTAGGAAGCCAGAATTAATTAATTAATTTTAAAATAGCAGTTCAAGGAGTTAGTAAAGACTCCCAAAATGTGGGAGAAGAACCAATTTTAAGGTTGGAGTTTAGTACTAGGTTCAAAGGTCTTGCCTGAAACCAGTTTTCTCTTCTCAGACAGTTTGACCAGGATCTGTGGGATATTTAGTTCAGACACACCGGCACAGGCTCTGCCAACGTTAATCTATGGAGGAAGAGGAGCCTGGAAGCTCTAGGAGAGTTTCTACTCTTTTCTAGAAGACCTGAATTATTTCTACACATTGATCTCTTCAAAAGGTCTAAGATATTCAAGTCAGGGGATTGGGTAATGGACATGGCGAGCATGAACATAGCCAGTTCCCCAGATCTGTCACTGTAAGTAGCTATCTATATGAGGAATCTATGCATGTAAAATGGGAAATGTTCTAGAAAATGAGAATTACCAGACTCTGCTACCTTCAAAATGGCAACCAGCCAATGGAGCAAATATTCTATTTTATTTCCAAAAGTTAAAAGGGTTAACCAAGATGACTCAGCTAAGGAAACTAACAAGCCAGGTATAAGGAGCAGGTGAAAAGGAGCTACAGTTTGGAGTCAGAAAACCAAGGTCATTTTTTTTTTGGTCAGTCATGGGGCTTGAACTCTGGGCTTGGGCACTGTCCCTGCGCTCTTCAGCTCAAGGCAAGCACTCTACCACTTGAGCTACAGCACCACTCCCAATTTTTCTTTCTTTTTTTTTGGTCATTTGTGGGGCTTGATCTCTGGGCTTGGCCTCTGTCCTTGCGCTCTTCAACTCAAGGCGAGCACTCTACCGCTTGAGCCACAGCACCACTTCAGTTTTCTAGTGGTTTATTGGAGATAAGAGTCTCATGGACTTTCCTGCCTGAGCTGGCTTTGAACCATGATCCTCAGATCTCAGCCTCCTGAGTAGCTAGGATTACAGGTGCCAGCCACTGGTGTCCAGCCAAACCAAGGTCTTATTACCACATATACTGGTTCAGTATGACTCTGGGAAAGTTTAATCATTTGCTGGTGATTTAATCTCATGATAGTCACCTTTTTTCCCCCCTTCTCAATAATAACTTGTGACTAACAATGGATCCTGTTGGCCAATACCAGAAAGTCAATGAGGGTACAGTAAGAAAAACACATGGGTGTAAACTGCAAAGACTGGGAAGGGCAACCTAACAATATATGTGTGTATGTAAACCCTCAGGAACCTAAATTAGCTCATTATTCAGATTACTCATGGGCAAATTTATTTTCTACATGTGATTTTCACATAACTACGCTCCTGTGAATTATTTTAGGTGTAAAAATCCAGGCATTTCTGGGCTGGGTAGGTGGCTCAGTGGTAGAGTGCTTGCCTTGCATGGCTGAGGCCCTGGGTTCGATTCCCAGCATCACATAAGCAAAAAGAAAAAAGCCGGAAATGGCGCTATGGCTCAAGTGGTAGAGTGCTAGCCTTGAGCTGAAGAGCTGAGGGACAGTGCCCAGGCCCAGAGTTCAAGCCCCATGACTGGACCAAAAAAATCCAGGCATTTCTGACCACAATATCTTATCTAATCCCAAGGGCATCCAGTGCATGTAACTTTCTAGAGATTTGGTATATATCTCAGTATTTACTAAATGCAGGATACCTGAATTTAGTTCCAGGCCAGTAAATGAAGAAGTTTAGCCAAAGTATCTGTGAATGATTTATCATAATTTATAAGTGCATATGCTGCACCAACAATATGGACTGTAACCTATTTGATCTTATGAAGCAGTTCCACTGCTACTTACTACTTGTCTATGCTATGGGTCCTAATTCTTCAATACAAGGGGAAGGGTAATCTATTATTAGGGGGAACTCTTCAATCTTCTGCATGCTCCTGTTATATATTTTCCAAGGTCAGTCTCACTGGCTGGCCTTGAACTCACTGTATAGCCTCAAACTCCCTATATTCATCCACCTCAGCTTCCTGAGAGCTAAAATGACAGTCCTGATTCTTTACTAAAGAAGAATTATGTGCATGTTCACTATCCTTTTGCCAGGCACAGGGGGGATCATGCCTTTCATCCTAGGTACTAAGGAGGCTGAGATCTGAAGATCACAGTTCAAAGCTAGCCCAGGCAGAAAAGTCTGTTCTTTTTTTGTTTTGTTTTTTTTATCTGTCATGGGGCTTGAACTCTGGGCCTGGGCTCCGTCCCTCAGCTCTTCAGCTCAAGGCAAGACTCTAACACGAGCCACAGCACCACTTCCTGTTTTCTGGTGGTTAATTGGAGATAAGAGTCTCATGGACTTAACCAGTATCCTCAGATCTTAGCCTCTTGAGCAGCTAGGATTACAGACATGAGCCACCAGAACCTGGCAGGAAAGTCTATTTGTAAGACTCATATCTCCACTAAATTACCAAAAAAGCCAGAAGTAGATATGTGGGTCAAGTGGAGAGTGGTAGCCTTGAGCAAAAAGGTGGTCAGGGATGGATCCTAGGCTCTGAGTTCAAGCCCCAGGACTGGCACAAAATCAAGTAAACAAAAAATACTATCCTTTTATCTACAAACATCCTGACTGGGTCCATGTAAGGGGAGGACATGTTAAAGAAAAAACAGCTCGTCAGAATGGGCGGGAGCCAAGTAGTGTTAACTGATATTAGACAGATGTAGTCATACATGCACTGTGCACGAGCTAGGTTAGGGAGTGTGAATTAGAGTACAACTACCCTACGATGACAGTGAACAGTGTCACTGACCATCTCAACTGAGATTTATGGTACTAGATTGAAAAACTAATGATCTACATTAAAAAGATTCTAAATGGAATAAAATACAATCCATCTAATTTAGTTTTCTGGAAGTCTTCTTCAAGATACTGTTCCCAGAAGTCACTGTGGCTCTTTATTACGAAGAGAAAATGAAAATCAGTGAATAAGGGAGCAACTCATGGCAGCTCATTAAACTATACATCTGAAACAAATGGAGATTCATGAACAATGGGGGGGGCTACTAGCTTTTAGAACACAATGGAAAGAGCCATAATTGCCTGAATTTTAAGTTAAGACTAACTAAAAACCCATTATTTATTATATGAAAGCTCATATGCCAGAAGTGCTCATTTGCAAGTAGCTGATTTGGAAATTCACAATGAAACAGGTCCAAGTATATAAATATTTGGCTTAGGATTTAGAGTTCTGTCTGTGGCTGTTAGAATCGTATCATCTCTTGTTTGGATGGCCCACTTGGGGCTGGTAGTTGGGGCTGCAGTTGTGAGACCCTGAAGTACTTTCATGTTTCCTAAGAGGGACCTGAAGCTTATTCAAGGTTACAGTCAGAAAGAGCTCAGATCTGAACAAGCTACAAAACCCATTTTTGTTAACTTGCTTTTCAGAACTTTATGTGGTTTTCAATTAAGAAAAAATTAAGTCTCTCTGTTAGTTTGATCCATTTTAAACAGATCCATTTCTGCACATAAGGAGATTCTAGTGATGTCTACCTCCACCAAATCATTCTCCAGAAATTATTCACTTTTTCAGTTACTTTCTGGCTCTTTGCTGATGATCAGCAGAGCTACAGCCACGTGGCTTTCCTTGGGGCAAGCCTGCTTCAGTCTAACACTACTTTCAGGCTATGTTTGAGAGTATGTAACTCACACATGTGTGTTTAGTTTCCTCCTGTATATTTGTGAAGATCAGGCACATTCAGACGGAAGAAAACTCAAGAATCCAAAAAGATGTCTTAAGATTCTTCCACCATTTGCAGAGATCAGTAGAAATAAATCAATGTGAGTTGCCAATAAATATTGGATGAAAATGTGGACAGTGGTCTTTGGCAATGTTTTAAAGTTATTCTTCACTGAATTATGAAAATCATAGTCTGTATTTTGGACTTCTTGAAACACTGGGCTTCTAGGAGTTTCTGTCTAGTCTGTACTGAATGTATAAGGAATGCTCTATGGTTGGACATTGGTGACTCATGCCTGTAAGTCCTAGCTACTCATGAGGCTGAGATCTGAGTATCATGGTTCAAACCCAGTATGAGCAGACAATCCAGGAGACTCTATTTCAATTAACCAGCAAAAAGTTATAAAGTAGAGGGAGGGAAGGGGTGACATTGTCCTAAAGGAAATGCATTTTTTGCCTGACATAACTGTAACGGTTCTGTACGTCACCTTTATAATAACAATTTAAAAATTTTTTTTTAAAGTTCTAAACAGCTCAAGTGGTAAAGCATCAGCCATGAGCAACAAAACTAAACAAGAAAGCAAGGTTTACTTTCAAGTCCTAGTACCAGCACGAGGAGGGGGGCAGAGAGAGAGAGAGAGACAGAGAGAGAGAGAGACAGAGGGAGAGAGAGAGAGAGAGAGAGAGAGAGAGAGAGAGAGAGCCAGAGAGAGAGAGCCAGAGAGAGCCAGAGACAGAGAGAGAGGGGTTATATGGAACCTCACTCAGCTGCCTCTGAGCCTACAGGAGATTCTGCAACATGAGATCACTCTAACTCTAGCTGCCAAAAGTTACATTGTGAAAGCAATTATGGGACAGTACCAATCGTCTTTCTCTCTCTCTCTTCCTTTCTCTTAAAGTAGTTCTCTCTCTCTCTCTTCCTTTCTCTTAAAGTAGTTATACAATGGGGTTTCAATTTCCTTTTGTTTCAATTTATTTTCCTTCTTATTTCAATCTCTCTCTTCTCTCTCATCTTAGTGTAGTATAAAATAACTGCAAAATATTGTCAAAAATCCTTAAGAGGCTACAA